GGTTTGGCAGTTAAACAATTCTTTTAATCTAAAGGAGGTCAAATAAGTCCATCAAGTCATCAAGACGTTTATAAGGCTAGGCATGACCCTAATAGGTTCACTAATGCACAGATGTGTTCAACAGTGCTGCACGACTAGTAACTTGAAAAGAAGTAGCATCAGGTTTCATTCATGTCTGATGAGCCATAATTATCCACTGCTAATTAATGCCACTCTCACGCAATGGGTGAGGTCCCAGTAAGAAGCTTGAAAAGATTTCAAACATATTCCGCAGATCATAGTGCAGTGAGCAAGCACAAACACGAGCTGATTTGTTTATACATAATGTTCACCTCTGGCAGAAATAAATGGGCTCAGTAAGTGACAAGGCGTAGACTAGGGATGTACAATTATACTGGAATCATACTGTTAAAAAAATATCAGTACTGGACAATCATTTTGTTTAATCTATATTTCAAACCAGTATTTGATGACATATTTGTTGCACTCCAGAATAGCAGAATGGTTAGGTAACGCTGGGCTACTGTGATAAAATGTCTGCATTTTACTGCATTTGTAACACTATAGAAATGTTATATATATATCCATAATGCTTATTCAGGTACATGCAGTGTCAATTTCTACATTTTGTAAAGGTTTATGTATCAGCATCTGTATCGGCATATATGTTCAAGAAAAAGATCAGATATCAGTATCTGCTCAGAATTTCCATATCAGTGCATCCATAGGTTAGACTTATCAAAATGCCAACTGTAGTATGAGTAATCTCAGCCCAACATTTCAAAACTTCAATCAAAATCATGTTGGGAAAGGCAATATAACAACATATTCAAGATCAAGATCAGGCAGACATCCTGACTTAGTAATGTGGACATAATTCATGTGTTGGGTCATATGTCTGGTCATATTACACACATTTAATCAGATCATTTAAATATTTGATCAAATTGATGTAGTATTAGATCTAAACACTGACTTTTGCACATGACAAAAACTACAAACCAGCAAGCAGGAAAAAATTATGTTAACCATATTTTTGCCATATCTCACAAAACAAAATTCATGGTTCAAAGATTACAGCGACAATTAGACGTCACTTGCAAAAAATATCAAACCACATCAAAACTCCCTCTTTAAAACGAATTCTTTGTAACAGGGCCTTGATACGTCTTCTACACCGAACAGGGAAGACTATCCATCCCTAAAGTCATGGTAGCAGGGTTGCAGTGACAGCAAGAAGGCAGATTAGATTTGCAAACAGTTCTAACCAAGCAGCAAAGTGGAAGTAATTTCCCCTGGATAAACAGCGAGCAGCAGGGTGGTTTTTATAGCTTGACGGCGAGCCAGAGGTGACAGTTCCCGTTACCGTAGGCTTGATCTTTGATCTCCATGTGCAGAGCCTTCTCAGCAAGGTGATAACTTAAGGCAGCCTCAAGCCATATGTCCCCTAGAGCCCAAACATACAACCTACTCGGGTGCTTGTGGTCACAAAGAATGAAAACACTGTCTGTAAACCAAGCATCTGACATGAGCTTAATGTTTTTTGGCCCTGCACTTTACTTAGGAACTGCTGATGCCCATTTTGGTCTCACAAAAACAGCCCTGAAGGACGTATGTTGCTAATAAACACCTTGCAGTGTGCTATGTGCAACTTCAGCTAGGAAGTTGAGAAGGAAAGGAACATCTGCAGTTCTCAGGTTTCAAAGACTTAATCATCCTGCTGTACAATCAAACAAGCAGCCTGAAGCAATTAACCATTTTAATGTACAGTTACTATGATGGAACACAAGGCTTTTTTCTTCCATCTTTCCACCACATCACACCACTTTCCTTCCATCTCTCTTAACAGCATGGCCACCCAGTGACTGGTACTATTGAGCAGAATCATACTTCTAAACACTGTTCTTCTTTCCGTCACTTTCTCACAAAACAGAAGCACTATGGAAGCTAAACAAAGGAAGATGTTTCATTTTCATTAATATGGTATTCAACTCCTTATTCATGTCCTTGATGAAAGCCGTTTACACAGCTTTTACACTAAAGATAGTGCTTTAAAAGTACCCATATCCTACATTTTTCATGTATTTTCTTTTTTTCCGCAAAGGTCCACTTGTGATGTTTGTGTGGGTTTATATACCAAAAACATAATTCATATTTACACAACCATTTTACAGCTTCTCTATATCCCTTACAACTAGAATGGGCGATACAACAATATTTATCAGCAGAGATAATTTACATCACGTTATGTCACAGTATGGGTTTCTGAGCATACTGTGGATATCATCAGTACTTTAAGAACAATGACCAACTGCATGTTTCAATACAAAGAGAGCATGATTAGTCTTGTTTAACTGGATTTAGTGCAGTGCAGTATGTAAAATGTTGAATAAAAATCACTGCATTCATAGAGAGTATTTTTAAATGTGGCACTAATTGTTCATTTTTCTGTTCTGATTTGCTGCCTTGTTCAAAAAGCTGTCTAGGCTGAAACACGCCTTATAACTTCAACGTGAATGGGTGAGGCTAAACTGCTGCATGACTAAGAGATATATGTAAATGTGTTGGTTTTCATGACATCCCACAAAGTCAATGAAAAACAGGCTTAGTTTCCATCTGGACTGTATGGATGATGGTACTTTTTAAAACTTTAACCATGTTTATATACTGCATAAAACTCCTTTTTTCTTAAAAAGTGAGAAAAAAAATGGTTTTACATAATATGGGCCTATAAAACCCCTGATAGCAGAAAATAATTCCCAGCATGGGAAAAGTGTTACTTCACTGAGACCAAAAGCGTCATACAACTGATGCTCTGTGGATGAGCCAATGTTCAGTCTAATCTTCCTCACAAAGTGCACCATCGCAGGTTCAATACAGCCAGTGCAACTTTGAACGTGGACTTTTTCCAGGCGTTCTACTGTGAGAAATAGGCTAAATTTGCAGAAGACAACACAAAATTGCCTCCTGTTGAAATCCTTGATGAAGGGATTCAAGAAAAGACATTCAAAAGGGAGAACACAGTCCCATGCTTCAGATGTGTGTAACAGAGGCCTCATTTCACAGGCGATGATATTTCTAACTTGCTGACAATCCCTTTCACCATCGCATATAATGATGCTTTTGTTTCAAAAGGGTCTCACACACTGTATTACAGTTTTTTTTTTCTGCCCAAGACAGAAAAATGGACTCGCCTAAACTGCGCGACAGCATATCTAACCAAGGTCTCAAAACAACAGGATCTTCATGGAAAACTGACTTCATAAAAAGATTACTAGTGGCAAATATGAAGCAAGTGTATTAGAGGAAAACTTCAGAGAGCTTTTTTTAGAGAAGCAGCAAAGAAAAGCCATGTTCTCTTACTCTCTATCATACTTACAAATCTCTTTAGCTGAAGGTCAGCATTGAGGACAAGTGAAAACTTCCTGACATTAGTGCAAGGAGGGGACAACCCTCAAAATTACATCCTCCCAAGGGATTAGAAGACTTTAGAAGAATTCCCAGGGCATTCAACTGGCAGTCATGCCTTTCATAACAATCCATTAGGAAATTTCTTCTTACACATGGGGACTTTTTCAAAATTTGCTGGTAGGGCTAGGCAATTAATTGATCATACTTTTATACCGTGATATGAGTTTTCAGGTTAAGTGGCATTTTCAGTGATATATTTGATAGCTATTGACCATGCTGATATCATGCCCACAAGCAGTTTATTTTTGTTTTTTAAATCCTATTTCGTCCTTTATTCATGGTATCGAGCACCTAGCAGTCAACTACAATGTATGTAATTTGCTGGGTGCTTCAGACTGTTTTGAAAGAGCAGCTTTAAAACCATGAAAACTAAATAGATTACATGCTTTCTTTTGTGAAATGTGCTAATTGATTACTTTTTACAATACTCTGAAAGGCTTTGTTTGGTCTCATTTTAAAGGGAAACTCCACTGATTCTTCAAAAATTCTGCAAAATGAAACTGTTAAGATATAAACAAAGTGATTCAGAACAGTTTGATATATAATGCACAGCTGCAGAGAAACTACCTAATTCAGAATTCTTCACAATGCTGCTGATAGGAACCAGACATCTGTAGAGTGTAAAGCTGCTAAAACCTTGATCACAGAAAGTTATGACAAGAAATGAAAATGTTGGAAGAAATGATGATATTCCCCTCTAAGAGTAGACAATTAAATAAAACAATCCAATAAAAATGTGTCAGTCAGGTTTATATCATTTTATATTTTTGACTCAAAGATTATCTGATACCGTGATAAATCCGGAAAATATCACGATATTAACTCGTCAATATACCGCCCAGCCCCAGCTCGCTCGCTCAAACAGCAGACCACACGCTTTCACTATTGTAATCCCCTGCTAGCCAGCAGAGCCTGAACTGTCCACAACAGAAGTCAACCGCGTTCCCAAAGCCCATAATCACAAACATGAGAACAGGTGGGTGAGAGAACCGAGAACCGGGAGAACAGAACAGAACAGCGGTCGGAAAGGTTGAAAACACGCTGTACTAATTAGGTTGACATTAGTTGGCTATCAAATGTCACCTGAAAGCCTCGGGAACTATCTTAGTGTGGACGTTGGCAGTCTGTTTTTCTGTCTCTCCTCATTTTTAAATTTTAACCGAATTCAGGCTGTGAAACTCGAGGCGCTAACAACAGCGCAGGACGGTTAAAGCTTAAAGCTAAACTCGACCAGATAAGGACAACCTGAGGACTTAAACTTACACGAAACGAGGCTGAACTTGGCTTCATAGTCGCCAGCTTCTTGTTCGAATTGTGCCGTTCCACCTTAAATGTTGCAGCAGTACTTATAACGCCTGAGGCACCAAAATGTAACTGCTGCACCATTTAAGGTGGAACGGGAAATTCGCATGAGACGTTAACTTCAGCTTCATAAATGCTACTGTAAGTAGTGTCTAATAATTGCGGAATTAAAAAGACCCTACACGCATTTTCAACGTTTAAAAACGACAAAAAGGTCACCACTTTACCTCTTCTTCTGTTTTGCAGTCTTGTCATGAAGTTGTCGTTTCAGGTTTCGCAGGTTTCTCACGCCAGGTAGCCTGTTTGGCACTGCTGAACTTCACAAATATGAAATAAAGTACTTTTTTGTATCGCGAGTGTAGATTTAGCTACTCTTAAAGTGTTTTTAAAAGACTGTATACATCTCTTTGCTCCGCAGCAGCTTGTTCAGTTTGTTGCATCGCAGCTCGCCTGAGAAGGCTCTGGCTGATCGCCTCACCGCCGGCGAAGCGTCCCGTCAGTGCGCATGCGCCCACGCCGGCTTTGAGCACAGTCAATCTGCAGCCTGACCAAACAGAATGACGTGCCAGTCGGCACAAACTCAGGTGCTCCACTACGTCCACCTTTCAGATGACCCTCAAAATGTCCAGGCCGTCAGTTACCTGAGCATTTTCAAACAGTACTTTATACTACATACAGCTCGAAAAATGCTTCCCAATATTCTTGTTTTTTCCTATATTTCTTGAATAAATTACGTCAAAGCCTTGAGTTTTTTGTCTCTAAAAGACCAAAAATGGTCTTAAAAAATTAGATATTTTTTCACCAAAAATGACTGAATAACAGGGTTGAAATCTCAGTAACAGAGTTGAAGCGAGTTACAGGGTTGAACATAGAGATCCTATTCCCCATTAAGCTGATATTAATGCAGTAGAAAACAGTATACAACAAAGAACTGAGAAGAAAGTTGAATAATTGTTTTAATCAAAATGTTTTCATTTAAATATTTATTTCAAACCATTTTCATTTTATTTTTATTTAAAATAAGTGAAGGTCAAAAACGTGAATCAGGCTTGCGAACTTATAAGCTAGCACTCAGGAGTGCTTAGCTTGGCAGGGTGCACATGTTGCATGCTAACTGCTAATAACCATATAGTTTACACATATTAAAACATATATATAAACATATATTCTTTCTTCTAACAATAATTTTGCTAAGAGTGTTGGATGGTCAAGCCACATCATTTTTGAGTGTAAATTGAGAAAACAGAATGAGAATACTGCACATTCCTGTATATATCATCATAAATGGATGTTACTTTTCTTTAGGAGGGGGAACAAGCCTGGGGTACACGGCTGCACAGGTTAAAATGACTTTTTTTAATTTATTACAGAAATTAATAGGGAAAAATATTTGAACATTAACTCTCTTGAAAATGAGTTCTTTTTCCCTTTAAAACACTGAATCTATTTGCGTGAGCACGAGAATGGCTAATAATCAAGCTAAATACAGTGACTTTGAATTTGCCCTTTAGGCCGCAGCGCTCAGTTCTACAAGACATTACAGCTAGTCAAACATTAACTCTCTTGAGAAGTCTGTGTCACCTTAAACTCCTGCTACAATTTCATGCAGTGGTACCAATAATAGGCACTCTTTATGGATGTTTCCATTAGTAGCGGCCTACACACTTAAACAAGATGGTTCTTCAAGGGTTCTTTAGTAAAGACAATGGTTCTATATAGAATAATTTCATGCCTAAATGGTTCTTAGCATGGTGGAATAGTTCTTCAGATTGATGGAGAATGTGTTCTGTGTGTTGTGTATACACAACAAAAAGGGTTCTTCACTTGTTACAAGCTTGACATCATAACAATAGCACAACCCCTTTTGGTGTCATATAAATCCATTCTCAAAAAGGTTCTATATAGAACCATATACAACACATTCTTCATCAATCAGAAGAAATATTTTGCCATGCAAAGAGCCATTGAATCATGAAATAATTCCCTTTACTGAAGAACCCTTGAAGAAGCATCTACTTAAGTGTGTAGTCTTTGAAAGTGACCCAACTAATCAAAATCAAAGAATTGTAAGTCAATGCTTAGTAGCAATGGCAGCTTGTTGCTGTATTAAGGGAGTGAGTGCAGTTAAGCACTATATCAGTGAATCTGACCGTAAGTTAAGCATGCTTTCATCTTCAAACAGCAGCATATGCTATGCAGGCTTATCAAGTATCATTTCTTTTGTTTACATGTGTTACATGCTTAATATCTTGTTTTCATATTAGTTTACTCTCTAAGTGTGGTTAAAACATTTTTTATAATAATCAATTTATGACTGTGTGCATGCTTTCACATGAAGGATTAATGGGGCTTATCTTCAGAGCAGTTGACTTCAAGGTGAACCGTTATAATCCTCAAGGGTAAGAACTCATGCACTTTAAACACAGTGTAATGACACAGATTACTTGTTTATTTTGTTTGTGATTTGTTTTCTTTATGTGATCAAGAAAGACCAGACTGACTGTAAGGGGTTCATTTTCAGATAGCGTTTTGTCAGGGGTTGTATGGTGTGATAAAGCAAAATGCAACTTTTTTACATATTCTTTCTCAAACTCTGTAGTTGCATTCTTAGAGTACTTTTTTACACAAATGAAATATTCAAAGTAGTAAAATTAAAGTGTTTTTTTTTATTAAAAGTGCTGACAACAGAGACGTTTTGATCAAGGATGACCTCTAGTGGCTGGTGAAGGTAGTGCTTGAAAAATCAAGCAGTGACTTACTGTTTATTCACTTATTTTACTAACTATATCTACTATTAGCATCTTAATAGAATCAAAGAAGAAAAAAACTATTTTAATAAACCAGATCATACAGACGCATATATATATATATATATATATATATATATATATATATATATATATATATATATATATATATATATAAACTGCAAAAAATATATATATTTGCTTGTCAAAGTATCTTAAATGCAATATAGGCAATACATCTTATATATATATATATATATATATATATATATATATATATATATATATACATATATATTGTTTACTATAGGATATTAAGTGGAATCATATATATGTATATATATATATATATATATATACATATATATGATTCCACTTAATATCCTATAGTAAACAATAATCATTGTATGATCTTATAAGAATCTATAGTAAATTAATACAATGACTACCACCTTTTCACCTTTTTTAAAAATAGTTCGTAAATAATAAATAAGTATTGATGTTTTTTCTTTCATTCATTTGAAGACTTTTTTGATTTATTTTTGTGGCAAAGTAACTGTATTCTGAATACTGCTTTTATTGAATATAACATGGACTGAATACAGATACTTAATTCCTATATCCTGAATAAATGTTACTTTACATCCCAACCCTGCACACTACAGCCCTTATAGTTTCTTATAATTCTACTGTTGGTGTTTAATGTAAAGACTTTGCTAAACAAGCCAAGTTATCTACTAGCCTTTGTTTATTTAATATCTAGTCAAAACGGCAGTTTTTATTTTAAGGAAATATTTCTGAGGAGATTAGATATAAGATAGTCCAATTGCATTAGGGGGAAAAGTCAAAGGAAAATAAATGAATAAAAACAGTTTAAAATTATTATTAAGTTTATTAAGTTATAGAGAAAATTACAGTGGGTAGCACTGTCGCCTCAGCAAGAAGGGCCTGGGTTCGATTCCTGGCTGGGCGATGAGGGTCCTTTCTGTGTGGAGTTTGCATGTTCTCCCCGCATCTGCGTGGGTTTCCTCCGGGTGCTTCGGTTTCCCCCCACAGTCCAAACACATGCAGTCAGGCCGAGTGAACACGCTAAATTGCCACCAGGTGTAAGTGTGTGTGGGAATGTATATGTCTGTGTGTCTGCCCTGAGATGGACTGGCGACCTGTCCAGGGTGTTTCCTGCCTTCCGCTCAATGTCCACTGGAATAGGCTCAAGCACCCCCCCCCACAGCTCAGGAGGATAAGCAGTTTAGAAAATATGTGTGTGTGTGTGTGTGTGTGTGTTATAGACAAAATTGGACTCCTAACAACCATGTCAGACCTGATAGACCACCAAAACGGTCACCATGAGATAGTACCTAAACTTTCATCTTTGAAAATCAAGCTCCTCTTTTGCTTCAGATCTGAAAAAAATCCACAGGTGTTTCTGTCCATCCTTCCACTGTGAGAAGACAACTCAACACTATGAGTCTGAAAGGATGTTTAGCTGTCAAGAAGCCTGCCAGCACAGTAAGATCATTTTCAGTAAGATCTTTGTTCAGGCCTACATGACAATTATAAGACAACTGGCAGCTACATGTGTGTATTGGATAAAAGGAACTGAATACCACTGCTCTGCTTATTAATGCATTTAACAATGTATCGTATGGAATAAGCTTTCACACTATGGTAGCTGATGAATGTGCAGGCCTTACACATTCAAAGAGATTGTAAACATAATGTAGACCATGTTGCACAAAAAAGTCTCAAAGTTCCTCTTATTGTTTATGAGTAATGACCATTATTCTGATGTCTCCCTACTGAAAACTGCAACATCATGCTTACTTGTGAATTCAGCCCATTCCTATCACGAGTGGAAAAAGTGAGAAATTAACAATAGTGTCATTTATAAACTAGTCCAGTTAATTTCTGAACCTGTGTTTTGTAAATATACTTCTATGTTGATAAGTTTGTTTTTTAGGCCAGGAGCCAGGTCCAGCACTCAAGATGTTCTCTGCTACAGTTTTTTCACTATTAATTCCTGTTAGTTTATGTCTTGGGCCATCTCAAGCTCATAATGAGCAACTCCAACTCAGGGGGTCTGTTCTAGGGGGCCCGAAACCCCCCTTTTGGGACAGGTTTCTGGACAAATTATGTAAATTGAAATATTGAGGCACTACGATAACCGGGTACAGAGGCATGACATTTGTCAGAAAGTATCCTGAAACAAAGGGGAACAATGGAAAATAAGATTCAGGGGTTCAGCACCATTCATTTTCAAAATATTATTATATTTCTCATCAAAAATTAATATTTATAGCAAAAAAATAATTTCCATCTAGAAAAGTTCTGAAATTCATAAGCTCCAATTCAAGCCCAAGATGTCCTCTCCATTTTCAAAATTATGCTTGTAGTGGCCCAAAGTCTCCCACTGTACCTCAAATTAGAGAAAATGCAGACAATAGTCTTTATATATACCTAGACCATGACTTAGTTTATTTTAGATTTGAGCGTTGCTGGTGAAGATGTATTGTTTGAAAAGTTGTATGCAAAAGTTTTGTCACCCTTGGACAACTTACGTTTTTTTCATTTTATGTTTTCTACATGAAAATCAGTTAACACAACCTCTACTGAGAACACATTTGGCACATTTTAATGCTTAGTAACTTAATTTCCTGAACTTAACGTATTGGGAATAAAATAGAACATTGCTGGGGTAGGCATATTTTTTTGCAATTAACACACACAAAAATAAAACTGCATATAGGGTCATTTCAATCAAGGGCAAAAGGCAAAGCAACAAGTGAAAGAGACAAAACATGGCAGAACAATCAGATACACAGTAAGTTGACAAAACTGATGAGAATCTGATGTGCACAAATCTGACTATCCAGAGGTCATAATTTCAAGTAATAGACTCTCTTATAGCTGTCTGGTGGTACTGAATTCATACAGTTTAAGCACCCAAGTGAACACCTCTTAATGTTACTTCACAGTTACTTTATATTTAATTGCCTTAAAAAACAGGACGAGTTAGGCCTTAAAGATGAATTCCCATGTCAAATTTCCTCTACTAGTTGTAACAATGGTCTGTTTGATTAAGTGTTAATTAAAAAATGAAAAATAAAAAAAGGAATTTGATTTGTTTAATGCATTGTTTGTTAATTTATAATTCCATATTTTTTTTAACTTTCACTCTAAAATGTGCCATAGCTTTTGCACAGGCCAAATTTCATATTTGATTGTATTCCTAATATGTTAAATTCAGTAAATAAACAGTAATTGTGCATTAAAATGTACAGAAGTGTGTTCTCTGTAGAGGACGTGTTTACTTATTTTCGCTCAGAAAATCAGCAAAACATGTAATTTGGCCAGGCTGCCAAAACTTTTGCATACGATGATGCAAGCAGTATACTTACCAGCAATGCTCAAATTTAACATCGTTTAAGGAAACTAAGGCATTAAAATGTCCAAGGTCATGAGAATTTTACATGTTATATACATCTGGCTATATATAAAGGGTATTTCTCCAGTTTGAGGTACAGTGTGAGACTTTTGGCCATGGCAGGCATAATTTTTCAAGATAGAAAGGTCATCTTGGGCTTAAATTGAAGCTTATGAATTATCAAAAAAATGTATAGATGCAAATAAATGTTCATTATTATTATTTAGTGCTATAAATATTGACTTTTGGTGAACAGTGAGTTTTTTTCTTTTTGAGGATGTTGTACATAATATTTTGAGAATGAACGGCAGTAAACCCCTGAATCGTTTCCAACCTTCTGCTTTGTTTCAGGATATTTTTTGCCAAATGTCATGCCTCTATGTCTATATTTGCCATTTTAGTGCTTCAATATTTGAATCTACATAATTTTTCCAGAAACGTTTCCCAAAAAGGGGGCTTTGGGCCCCTCTAGAGCAAACTACCCTGAAATGGAGTTGTTCAGTATCAACTTGTGATGGCCTAAGATATATAGGCTTACATGAAATAATAGTGAAAAAGGTAGCAGAGAGTATCCTGAGTGCTGCACCTGACTCGATCTGTGCACCTCTGACCAGTTCTCGGTGGGTTTCATTCTGAACCAGGAGTTGTGAATCTTTCTAATCTGTCAAATATGCAGATATACTCATTTCACCTGGGGGGTATTCCACAAAGCAGGTTTTCTCAGTTTAGCTAGATAACTTAAGCCCAAAGTCAAGCCTGTCCAACAGGAAAAGAGCTGAGGGACATTCCCGTTGGACAGTCCACATCTTTGGGGTTAAGTTATCTGGCTAACTGAGAAATCCTGCTTTGTGGAACACCCCTCTGGTCAAATTTCATGGTCATATATTTTCTATTTATTTGCTGAACTTTGGAAAAAAAAGCTTTAAATATAAAATGTGCCACGTTTTATGTATTATATTCCCAAATACATTAAATTTAGCAAATAAACAGTAATGTAAGTGACGCGTAAGTGACACCATTGCCTTTAGCTCATCGTTAGCCACGTTAGCATGGCGCTGCTGAGCTACCCCTTTAACTCGTACTATTGGCTCAGCCCTCCACTCCCCCCTCAGCCTCTCAGTATTTCCGTGTTGTGAATCCGCTCAGCTGAATGAGTGGAGTTCGCCTGCTTTTCACTGAAGTTTCTCCAGCAGCTCGTCGCGCCCTGCTTTAGTTAAAATGTCCGACAAAGGCCCTTTCGACACCAACGTAGTGACTCTGACCAGATTTCTGCTGGAGGAGGGGAGGAAGGCTAAAGGCACCGGGGAACTCACCACTCTGCTCAATGCTCTCTGCACGGCCATCAAAGCCATTTCCAGCGCTGTCAGGAAGGCAGGCATTGCCAACCTGTAAGTATTCAGCAAATGCAAATGAGGTGTGCTTTTAGTTTAGTTTTCAGTCAAAAGCGTCAAAAAACGACTTTCCTCCTGTATAGCATACAACTGCACTACTTTTTAAAGTTATAGTAGAGTAGATATCTTTGATAACTTTGCCCCAAACTTAACGTTAATGCTGTCTGTCTATAGCTAAACACTTCACTCCACGTCTGCAAAGCGTTTCGTAATCACAGGCTGTCATTTAACTACTGTAGTATTCAGTATGAACACAGCCCATCAAAAATACCTGCAAAGGCTTTGTTTGTATAAAATAGCTATTTACGTTACTGCCGCTTTAAAGCTTAATGCCTGCTAGTAAAAACAGTATAGACCTGCATGGCTGGTCACCAGCATGTTGTGTTTTGGATGCTGGTGTGCTGGTCAACCAGCATGACTGTGCTGGGTGACCAGCTAAACCAGCACCAGACAAGCATAAACGGGCATAAATCAGCAGTTTGTTGCTAATTTATTTTGCTGCTTTGTTTCCACTGGGGTAACATTAGATTCTACAACACTCAGCTTCCTGTTCATCAACGCCTCTTCATTGGCTTCCTTGGTATGAAGAGCAGGTTTTGCCTAAATATGATTTGACAGTGTTTCTTGTCTAAACTTCTTAAATGCACACACTGAAAGTCTTTTAAAGGTGGTTTAAACAGCTGCCAGCTTTGAGTGTTGACATCACAACAAAGGGAATGATAAAACATGCTCTAAAGAGATTTCTGTTGAATATGCTCTACTTAACACATTATTGCAAATACATCCGGTATCGAAACACAATAGCATAATGACTATTTAGTGTCAGACTGACTCTCAGACAAAGTTCGTCTTATTGTTTATGAGTAATGACCATTATTCTGACCTCTCTCTCTCTGTTGAAATCTGCAAAATCATGCTTACTTATGAATTCAGACCTTTCATATTAAGAGTCACCAGAAGAGAGACCAGGGAAGTAAACAGTGATCTAATTTATGAAAGCAAACTATATCTAGTGTGTTTTCCATTTTTGTATCTACATTTTATGAATTATTTTCTGTAGTAACTAATTTATTTCTGTTTTGATCTTACGTATGAGAACCGTGCAGAAGTCTCGGACCACCTTTATTTAATTTCCAGGCAAACTGTGTTATTCATTTTTCAGGAAATATCGCTGAAAATATTAGATACAAGATAATCCACTTGCATAAGGAGAGTGAAAGTCAAATGAAAATAAGCAGGAAAAAAACTAGAGTTTAAAAATATTATGAAAAAATATAAAGAAAATGTGATTCCTGACAATTGTGCAAGACCTTGTACACCACCACAACTGTCACCATCAGATAAACAGCACTTACAGCTTTCATCTTTGAGAGAGAGGAGAAAATCAAGCTCCTGTCTTGTTTCTGTTCTTTCTTCCACTGTGAGAAGACAACACTTTGGGTCTGAAAGGACAAGTAGCTGTCAAGCATCCCTTATTGGGAAAAGGAGCATTGCATTGTTCAGCCCTATCTGATGGCCAGTTTTTTACTACAGCTATGGCATCGCTGGCAGTACAAATGTGACAGGGGACCAGGTGAAGAAGCTGGACGTCCTCTCCAATGACCTGGTCATCAACATGATCAAATCCTCCTTCACGTCCTGCGTGCTGGTCACAGAAGAGAATGACGGTGCTATTATAGTGGAGCCGGACAGGAGGGTATGTTTAAAGGACAGTAAACTAATAAGACCCATTCTGTTAAAGTTTTTCTTTAGAATAGTAACTGCTCAAGTCTGAAAACTGGAACTGTTTACACTTGTGGGAGTGGGTCATATTGAAAATGTTAATTTGTTGTGATTGCAGGGTAAATATGTGGTCTGCTTTGACCCTCTTGATGGATCCTCCAACATTGATTGCCTGGCTTCCATTGGGACCATCTTTGCCATCTATAGAAAGGTATGGGTTTTACCTGCACCGGCTTTACAGGCAGCAGTCACTAGGTTCAATCACATTTTATGATGTGTCCTCATAAACAAACCCAGTCAGGACACTGAGTGCTGATTATTTTCAGGGGTTTTGAAGTTGCCATAGTTATGACATTTTTAAAAGCAAATTGATTGTGAAGTATCTTTTAGTGAAATCTTGCACATTTTCATCCTCAACAAATTTCAGTTTCAATTTTATAAATTTTTCCTTAGAAGTTCATTTTTTACTGTCATAACTGTCTTATTGACATAGATAGACTAAGGAGGTTAACATGGTTCAGTTTACATGGAATTTAACATAATAAAACAGCCTGATAGAGACATTAATATATATCACACATCAATCTATTCTCCAGTGCACAAACGATGAGCCGAGTGAGAAAGATGCCCTCCAGCCTGGCAGAAACATTGTGGCTGCTGGGTATGCGCTGTACGGCAGCGCCACCATGGTGGTGCTCTCCACCGGCCAGGGAGTCAATTGCTTTATGCTGGATCCGGTAAGTTAACTGTAACACATGCCACTGTTCAAAACGTTAGAATTACTTGTCATATTAATATTTTTTGTTATTTTATATTAATCATGTTTTTACACAATGTAGATTTAAATATTAGAATAGTAATTTTAGAATCTTCTACATCTCCATTCATTATTTTGGACACATCTAACATTTTTTCATTTTTATTTACAGCTTCCTAGTGTCCTAGTAATGATTTGAAAGCATTGAAGTTAAACAAGACTAGCATATTAGAATCATTTTATACATTTATCTGCAACAAAGTTAAAAAAGTATTGAAAACACTGAAAGTGTATGCAGTAATAATTTGTATAATTTGTATAATAAAATAAACTAGACAACAGAAGAGCTTGGTACATGTTTTTTTTTTTTCAACATTTTAAGTATTTTGGGGGACCATAAAATGTTAATAAATAATGAATAATATACTTTAATTATCTGTTTATGATGATTTTATGTCAAGGCTTATCAAGTTTTGAAATAATTTAGTTTTAAATGTATTGAAATGTATTTACTTTTTACAGCTTCATACCAATTTTTTCAAACCTGTGCATTTGCATTACTTCTTTTTATACATTTATCTTTATTAAAATTTTTAAAAAACTGATTCCAAACCTTTGAATGGAGATTCCAAACTTCCAAATTCCAATGAAAGGCTAATTCAGCTCTTTTTTTTTTAAATCTTTCATTTATTATAATGTAAAAAAAATCTTGCTCATAACAAATTACTCCTGAAAGTTAAGAGTATTTAGTGTATTTCTGAGCACAGCAGTGCATTCCTGAGGGCAGGATATATGAAGTGCTTGTGAACTGCCATGCTCAAGAATGCAGAATAACCATGAAATGCCCTTGTGTGCGCCTGTTTTGTCTTTTGCAGGCCATTGGGGAGTTCATTCTGGTGGAAAGAGATCTGAAAATAAAGAAGAGAGGAAAGATCTACAGTCTTAATGAGGGATATGCCACATACTTTGATCCTGCTGTTACAGAGTACCTTCAGAAGAAGAAATTTCCAGAGGTACAGCCCTGCACCTGCGCACAGAGCTCGAGTAAACACATTAGTGTTGGAATTGCAAAAGTGGCGCATGCTGTGAAAACATGAGGGATGTTGATTACTTGATTAAACTCGATTTTGCAATTCTCTATGAATGCAGTGATTAGCTGGCAGTTTGCATTATGATAACACATCTTTTAAATTCTCCTAATGATCTTTCTCATAGTAAGACTCCGATTTACATGCATTTTTTGCCACACAGTGCTGTTATATATCGTCACTTTCAAAGCAAAACCTTCTATCTCTAAAAAAAGTACCTTTTTTAATGAAGATTTTTAAAGAAGGTGTTGCTATTTTTCCAGGAAAGTGTTGAAATATTTAAAAGGTCATTCATTGATTGTTTAGTTACAATAATAATGAAGAAGAAGAATCTTATATTTTTATAGCACCTTTCATACATTAAAAATGCAACTCAAAGTGCTTCACAATACAAAGTAAAAACAATGGAGGAAGAGAAAAAAAATCATTAAAAATAAAATAAACAAATAATAAAAATGCAACAGATAAAAGCAATAGCAGAAAATCTGCCAGATAAAAGTATAAATATACAATTAAAAAGCAACTAACAAGAAAGTAAAACTAATATTCCACTAAAAATAAGGGAAACAATAGTAGTAGTAAAAAAACATTGACAGAAGGAGCCTGACGAATGTTTATTGGTAACGTGTTCCAGATCTTTGGTGCATAAAAACAAAATTCTGCCTCTCTGCTAGGTCCATCAATTAGGTCCCTTTTTTCTTGTTTGGCTATTATTTTTAATATCCTGAAAGTCATACTTTGGTAAAATAATGACAACGCTAACAGTACCTTCCTAAAAACGTGTGTAGGTGTACAAAAGTACTGGGTAACCTAATCAACTGCAGTGGAATTTTGTGGTTCTATTTGAACTATAAATGGTTAAAATGTAACTGAGTAAAAAGTAGACTTCTTTATTCACTAATACACTTGAGTAGAAGCATTGTTTGAAAATACTAATGAGAGTATAAATCTATCAGTATTTTGTTCAGGTACATGTACATGAGCAAATGTAATTATTTACTACCTGCCTCTGGTCAAAATAATCAGTAGACTACAGTAACCTGCCTAATCACTAATATAATCAATAGTGACCACCCTAGAATTCATATAATAATTTACAAACAGTGTCCAGATTCATATAAAGTTGTACTATAAATGTATGGAATTCCAGTGCAAAGAATATGTGCATGTATGCCATCACTCAAAGCGTAACCCCTTTGTAGATGACTGATAAGATGAAGTGTGATGAGATGATGTTTGTTTGTTTGTACAGGGTGGCAGTGAACCTTATGGGGCACGATATGTGGGTTCCATGGTAGCAGACGTGCATCGGACCCTCGTTTATGGAGGTATTTTCCTTTACCCAGCCAATGTGAAGAGTCCCAAAGGAAAGGTATGATGATTTTTCTTTTTTTGTTAGCTTTGGAAATGAGGATGTGAGTCTGGAGAGGCTTTCAGTCAGATTGCCACAGTAAAGGTGCACTTTGTATGAGAGCTTTACTATTACATTATATTAGAGAAATGACCTGAGAAGGTTTGAGATTTCTTCATGTGCTCAAAACACAGACAGGTAAAACCAAGAAAACAAAAGAAAACTATGCTTGCCTTGTTACTTGTGCCAAGTTTTAGGTGTCTGAAAAGGAATGTGGGTCTTGCAACTTTGCTCTCCTTCTGTCGAATAACGGCACGCCCTGTAAAGTCTACAGAATGTCGCTTTCCAACTGTGTCAACAGAACTCTACAGCTAGAACAAAATCAGCTTCTGTATACACACCCTTTTAACTTAGATTACGTAGATGTGTTGTTAGAATTTCTATAGCCAATGCACAGTTTCTTGTATTTGCATTAGAAATTTTTACATAAGCGCTGAAGCTACCAAACAATTCTCACTAACTTATCCACATACTTTTATCTCAGATGATATGGCATCAATATTGTCATCAGTTTCTACCTGCAGGGGGAGCTGTGAAGCTCTGCTACTTTCCTTCCTTCTAAATTTATCATGTTTATGATATATCTAATAATTGGAATTAATGATTAACATTTAATTTATATGAATTAATATTAAAGAATTAAAAGAATTAATATTAAAATATCCTACATTTTTCTTGTATTATTTTTTCCCTACAGCCCACTTATGACATTTGTGTGGATTTATCTACCAAAAACAGTCTTAATTCTTTTTTGACTGCTCTCTTCAACCCTTAGAATTAATGGGCTGTTTCCATCACTGTGCCTTTAAACTTGATATATCAAAATGGCCTCTGTTCTGATTGGTTGCCCTGCATTACACCTCCAGACTGAAACACTCCTTATAACTTCAAGGTGAATCAGCCGAAATAAACTAGGTTGAATAGGTTGAATCGTCCTGTGTATATAAATAGGTTTGTTTTTGTGACATCACAAAAACAGCACATTAAAACTGGCTATTGCAGCTTAGTTTTCATATATGGACTGTATGGACTTTTTGCAACTTTGTCAAACTCAAAATCTTTTATTTATTTATTTTTTCCCCAAGATATGGGCCTTATAATTAATTCTTACGTAAACTAAAGGGTCCATTAAGTGTTCGGCACTATTAGAACTGCATGATACGGACAAAATAGAACACATTATATTGATATCGATTGCAACTGCAGTTGACCTTGCAGTATATAAGCACACTTGGGAACATACATGTTATGACATGACAGAAAACTGACCTGCAATAATTTGACTAAAATGTAGCATATAGTGGCTCATTTGCATTTTGAGCACCCTGTGGTATCAGCATTGCACTTGACTGTAATTATTTAAAACCTCTTTATTTGTTTTCCTCCATCATAGCTTCGTCTGTTGTATGAGTGCAACCCCATGGCCTTCATTATGGAGCAGGCTGGGGGGATGGCCACCACAGGGACCATGAACGTGCTGGACATCCAGCCTGAGAGCCTCCATCAGCGAGTCCCAGTGGTGCTGGGTTCCCCAGAGGACGTTCAGGAGTACATCTCCATCTACCAGAAACATCACAAATGACCAGACACATGCTGGACCAAACACTAAAGACCTACTAAGGGCAATTCATAAAAGAGAGACCAAAGATCAAATGCCGAACACTTCAAACACTCCAAACTGAAGAACCAAAATATTATGTTGATGCTCCACAGTGGTATTTGTGGGAAACCAAGTATCTACCTTAGAACTTAAAGGGGCTGTTGCTCTGTCATTAGCTTAGCAGCAGTTTAGTCTCACAGGTTTGGCTAAATCAATAACTTCAGTGGTTTAACACGTCTACCTGATCTGCTGCTTAACTTCTGCTGATCCGGACATATTACGTCATGAGCAACCCAACTAAATAAGTAAAAATGCGGTTCTTGCCTTAAACCTCGGTAAAACCATGTCTTTAGCACATATAAGATAAACCTCAGTTAAACCTGACACAGCACCATCAGATGTGTGATTGTAAATGACACAGCAATTGGGTTTAGTTTAAAATGCATTTCTATGCACATTTCTGTGAACCCAAGTGACTCACTGAGGTTTAAACTCAAGTTAAACCCCAAACCACAGCTAAGCTAATGACAGTCCAATTGCCCCAATAATACTGAACACAAAGGAACATTCCTGAAGTAAAGCATTTTATTTTGCACCTCTTACAACACCGTGTTCACACAGACTCATTCTGTAACCTACTGAAGAATCCATGAGTTACTGACATTGTAGCAGCTATTAAAGAATGTGCTACTGGTCAAAGATATACTAAAGCAATATCAGGCAGTTTGAATCCTGACATTTTAATATCTATGCATTACAACCCATGTGCCTTTTCTGAACCAATGCAGCAGATGTGAATAAATGCATATGTGCCAAAGTCATAGATGTGATTACTTGTTGTGTTTTGGCTTCTGTTAGAGCAAAAGATTTACAACTGAAAGGTGAAGAAGAGACGGCCAAACATGCCAAGTTCACGCTGAAAACTAGTCAGTGTGACCTATAACATAAAGGCTTAGTATATTTTGGGACTTGCTGCTATTTAATATCGCAGATGTAAAGATCTTTTAGTGCTGCTGTTACACTCTTCTTTGCAGCAGTCAAATTTCTGTGTGAAATTGGTCACGTACTGCAGTGCAGGCGACCTTTTCTGTAAAGGTCAAATGAAGTGCATGGACCTTCTGGCATTTGGGAATCTTGCTGTTGATGACCACCAGGCAGACCCTCTGTCACTGAAAAAAAACACCTCTAAAAAAAACGTGCGCAAGTACTTTAAAACAGAATCGAAGAAGAAGGACCAAAAGAAATAAAATGAAATGAAATAAAAAAGAAGAAATAAAACATAAAATGTGGCATGTGCAAAAGTTATGGCACATTTTATATCTTATTTGTAATTTTCAATTAAATGCCACATTTAAATGTGTTCCCTGTAGAGGATGTGTTAACTTATTTTCTCTTAAAAAAACAGCAGAATATGTCATTTGCCCAGGGGGGGCAATTATTTAGTAATTCCTAAGATAAAAGATTAGAAAATAAAATAATAAGAACAAACGGACCCTCCAAGCATTGTCACTGTATAATTTGCACTCTGCATTTAGTGACCGATAGATCTGTCCTGCATCCAATAAACACTTCTGATCAGCAAGTTGCCCTGTCCCAGTTGGCACACTTGTAGTCTTGTGGTCCTCAGAGGCACACGAGAATAAGGACTGCAGGCTGTAGAGTGTCCCATTTCTTATTATGCCATTAAAAGGGTGCTCATGAGTGTCCCTTATGTGCTTTTAGTGCAGCCTTTGGTAAGGACTGCATCGATGCAGACTCAGCAGCTGCCTCTTACCCACAAATCCTTGCGATACAGAAGAGGACTACTTTTACTGACATTTATTTACCTCAGTACAATCGATGAAAATGCCCCCATTTCACATTGTTGGTAAATAAACATATGCTTGTAAAAGTTAACAACTGTGGAGAATAACTGTGGTCATCTTAAACAATTATAATTAGCTCAAATAACTGCAATCAGGTGATTATGTAAAAATAATGATAAAAATAATAATAATTATTATAATCTTTATTTATATAGCACTTTTCATGCCGGTGGCAACTCAAAGTGCTTTACAGACAGGTGATAACACATCAGTAATACAAGAAATTATGAGTTCTAATTTAAAATTATAATTAAGTGAGTGTATATCCCACAGTTCAATGCATTGGGGACATTCTTACATGCTGTTTCGGAAATATCGGGGAAAAACATTAATTTCGTGCGTTTCACGGCCACATCAGATATGTGTTCAATCTAGGGCTACATAAGGCCACGTGGCTCTAATGTGGTTGGAAAAGATTTGAAAAATCTGACTGATCTGATTTTTGCACTTCAGTCCTGTATTGTGTGAATGTGGCCTTGAAAGACACTTCTGAGGCCTCACGAGACCACAATCCACACGTTACTCGCCGGTCACCCGATAGCCCTCACAAATATAACCCTGGCTTTTGCTGTTACCCCCGCACTGCAAGCGCACAGAGCGACTTCAGACAGCAGACCGCAGTCTACAGGTCTCTTCAGTTCGGAGCTCAGGACGCAAACATGACGGATCAATCTGCCTTCGACACAGACGTGTGGACGCTCACGCGCTTTGTCATGGAGACAGGAAGACAAGTGAAGGGCGCGACGGGTGAACTCACCCAGCTCATTAACGCCATGCTAACGGCCATCAAAGCCGTTTCATCTGCCGTGAGGAAAGCAGGCCTTGCTCACCTGTAAGTCTTGTTTAGACGTTCTTTGGGGGTGGAGGGAGGAGGTGAGGGAGGGGCAGGGTGCTAAGTAACGATAATTGAGTAGTACGGTGGTCTCAGTGCTGGTCCTGGAGTCAAAAGGTGCCCTAAGCCCGGCGGTCCTCCTCAAAGTCTGCACTTTGGTGATGTTAACAACGCAAGAGACCTCAGAGGAGCACGCATTTGGGACAGACGTTACGCAGAAAACATTGCGACCTGACGCATCTCCCCAAACCCCCCAGAAATGGTGTACAAACATGTTATAAGCTATGGCGATATAATAATTTACAATACTTAATATTTCAAAACCATTCAGTTTGTTATGTTCAAACTGGGTGTAAAGTCATAACTACTCCGTCTGTTAGGGATGCATGATGATATCGGAATCATATCGGCCGATACCCGCTCGCTTAAAAATCAGTCATCACTGGGCCTATGCTTAGATTTGGCCAATATTTCAAACAAATATTTGGTAACGCATTTCTTGTATGTCAAAAGAGCACAGTTAACGTTTAGGTGACACTGGCTGCTACAACTGTGCAGCTAACATGCCGCGCATACAAGTGAAACCTGCTCAGCTACGTTACGTTAGCTTCATAGGTTACATAACTCATGGTAGAATGTTTTGATAGCTTAAATCTCCTTATAAAAAATTAAAACAACGTTTTAAGTAACTTACAGCATACAGTTAATAATGTTTACACTCTGCTCGTATAAACTGAATGAAATAAAGCGTTCATCACTTATTATGCTATCCGGTATCTGTTTACTGACATCAACTTTTCACTGTCTGGCTTCGAGCAGTAAGATACGAGGTCAAAAAGGCTAAGCTAGTAAAGGTCTGTAATGGTCTGTTATCTGACAGACCATTAGCATATGTCTGTTTACCTAAAAAACTGATTGCCTTTCTCTGTCACACGATCTACTGTGGCTTTCTGTTGTCTTGATATTGCATTAATTTATTGTAGTAATGGCAAAATGCTGTGTGGCGCTGTGAAGCACTGATGAATTGAACAGTGCCTGATATGGAACACCTGCACAGGTGTGCGGACCTCCATCATAAACAATGGTTTATATGGACGTTGCATTACGCGGCACGTCCGGTGTGGCCTTTACAGGTGGCAGTTTTTTCATGCCACAGGTGTAAAGATATGTACATGTAAAATATTGGATTTCGGCATCGGCGGATACATATGTAAAATATCATATATTGGCATCGGCCCAGAATTGGCCCCCATATCGATGCATCCCTGCTGTATGTTATACATGACAGCTGATACAACTTTCTCAGCAGTTTTTTTTTACTTTTTTACCACTAATCTGAACGTATATCTGTTTATTCACTTGAATGCATATTTGATGTTGAGAAAAATAAAAAGGTTGTGTAGTTGGTGTGTGTAGGGTAGGAACTACGTTTCCTTTTCCTCATGCACAGTCCAGCATCAAGATAAAATGAACCCTCTGCAATAATGGCATCATAAGGAATAATTTCACTTCACCATACAGTCTGATCTTTGGCAGTTAGTTCTATGCAAAGGCTTTCCGATGTTCTTCAGTCTTGTTCAGTCGTGTTGAAATCCTAAACAGTGACGTATTTTTCAAGGGCCCCTTGTGCTTGGGTAGCCAGCAATTCAGCATCAATTAACATTCATGAAATTTGATTAATTTCATTTTATACTGTCTGCTAACCAATCTTTTGGCGGTTGTGGGAAATTTTGATATTAGCCAAACAAATGCACCCAGCAATTGCATATTAAAACTAGCCTGAAAAACTAAGAACTTGGCATAGTGCCAAAGGTCATCGTATAGAGAATAGTCTATTGTTAAAGAAAATGGGGGGTTAGTAAAAGGACACTGTAATGACAAAAAGAAATGTTGATAATTAAGGCATTTGTGTGTGTACAATTGCTTTTGTTATAATCATTCATCACTATATCACTGTATTTGTTATGTTTTTTTGTTTTTTGTTTTTTGTTTTTTACAGCCCATCCTCTTTGTAAATTCTCTTATGGCGATTTACATTACTGATCCCAAAGATTTCCCTTTGTATTTGCACAAGAAGGCTTATTCGGTATTGGTGTAGGGTATTGACACTGATATCAGTCCTGTATTAGCAGATATAATATAGTACAGTATAGCTCTGTATAGTGCAGCATGGTATTACTTGATATAAAGAAAATCAGTGGTATGATTCCTCCCACACATTCCTACATAACATATCCAGTTCAGTTCAGGAAGGGCTCACTAATTAGTGGATTAGCAGGATCAAGCATGTTGAGAGCAAAATATGCCGAGCAGAAGGAATACTTGCCACCACTATAAGTTTACAATGAGAGTTTACAATGCTGTGATTGTGCTGAATTTATAGGTCTGGATTGGTCTTGAACTTTGAAACAGTTTTATTCAACACCATTAACCACAGTCTAAATGTGGAAATCATTTTAAAAATAGCAGTGTAGCCTTTTTATGTGACCTACTATATGATACTTGAGACCTATGACCTATGACTTTCTTAACTAAGAAGCACGGCTGAAAGGCCTGTTGATCCAGCGTTCTTTGTAGAAATGGGTGAGAGCACAGATGGACTACAAAGCTAATTTTTGAGTAAAGGAATGAGTCAGTTGGCCATGAGACAAGTGTTTTAATAGTGTAGACTTTGTGACACACTGGCTGCTTTGAAATTGTATCTACATTCCATTTAAAGTAGATTACATTTATTTAGCCAAATGAAAATGAATGGTTGGCCCAATAGCTTTTGACAGGTTTGAATGAAGTTGATCAGTGAAGTAGATAAATCAGTGTGCTGGCACAGCGTAGTTCAATCAAACTGCCATATGAGCACATCCTGTGCCATGACTTACTATCATTTAGATGCATTAGCAACCAAAAAAGGCCCTACTATGCCATAGCTTAACATGTTCTAGAAAAGAATACTCCTCTTGGATGGTTCATCCAATACAAACAGAGATATAAACACATGTGAATTCTGGTGCAATGGGAATTAAGTTAATAATATTTGACAGGTTTTGGCATTACTTGTTTTTTAATGTCACTATATATGTTTAAAAGTTTGGAGACACTTGATTATCTGATGTTTCTTTTGAAATCAAAAAGTATTAATAGGGAGTTTGTTCTCCTTTGCTGCAGTAACGGCCTCAATTTTTCTGGCAAGGCTTTATGCTAGATGTTGGAACATTGCTGTGAGGATTGAATTGCATTCAGCCACAAGGGCATTAGTGGTGCTGATGTTGTTACTTAGTTCTCAATGACAGACATCCTCCAGCTCTTCCAAAGGTATTGGATTATACTTCATCACTCCAGGAAACTCAGTTCCAGTGCTCCACACCCCAATGCTATTGGGCACTTTATACCCCTCTAACTGCTTAGCACTGGGCAAGGTGACCTTAGGCTTGTGTGCAGCTGCTCCAGAGCGTTCCATTCTATTGGCAGTATCTGTTGGTCAAAAAGAGAACAAAATCCCTTGATTTCAGAAAAAAAACATGGGATGATCAGGTCTACAAACTTTTGGATAAATTGTGTCATTAATCATAAATTTTGAGTTGTTCGCCCCAGCTGAGTAACTACGACCACAGGCACATATATATAAAAATACTGAAGTAGTGGTTACTCTGAATGCCAACGTGTATATAATCACAGTTTACAATATCTGTCAGCACAGACTTCTTTCAAACAACAAACAACACACAGCAAAGTCAGGTGACACCTTTATGCAATAGAGATTTTGCATGAAGAGATTAAACTGGAGAAGCTCCCAGTATATCAAATCATCTAAAATTTGGTTTATGTAGTTTTGGGCAGCTTTAACGACTGAGAGAAGAAGTAAGGAGGAAGGACATGAGCTGGTGGTGGGGTGCAAAAACAATATTGCTATGAAATTAAATGGGAGGGAAGAGAATTTTCAGGAATGGTTCCTGAAATATCACTGATTGGATGTCCACCACACTGATGTGTTGTTACTGTATATGACCCCAGTCAGGGCATTGCTGGGCACATAAACGTCACAGGAGATGAGGTGAAGAAGCTGGATGTGCTGTCCAATGATCTGGTCATCAACATGCTGCAGGCTTCTTACAGCACCTGTGTGCTAGTCACTGAGGAAAACAAAGAAGCCATTATCACCCCTGCTGAGAAAAGGGTGCGTTCACTATGTGCTAGCATGTGCTACTGCTTAAAATGTGTCTGAAAAAGGCTTCAAGTGCTAGTTTGGCCAAAAAAAATCAAATTGACACAGTTTTCCCCAGAATTAGTTTTTCAGGCAAGACATATGTGGTGTCCAAAGATTGCTTCTTTAGTTAAACGGTGGAGCCACAAAGCTAATGTAAGTTAGCTAACAAGTAATGAACACCTGTTAGCACTGTGCAAACTGCATGTCTATATCATCACACCGTTATCCCAAACCATGCTGAGTTGTTAAATAATATAAGACAAACTTGCTTATGTGGTCTTTGACACTGTACGGCCCACTGTTATCTATAAACATGAACAAAAGTGCATCACATAGCTAAAAACAGTAGCCAGGCATGATTAGTTTTGTTGGTTGCTGTTGGTAGGGCCACGCCCATACAGAAATCTGATATATGGCCCTATATGTCCCATATATGAAAACAGCCAATTTGAAATAGGTTTGCATGTATGTCACATACACAGTGCTGTGAAAAGGTATTTGTCCCTTTCCAGTTTCTTCTATTTTTGCATCTTTGTCACACTTTTGGATCATCAAACTGCCGCAAGTAAACACAAAATGCTGTTTTTAAAGGTTGATTGCATTTATTGAAGGAAAATGCTGTTCAGCCCTATCTGGCCCTGTGTGAAACAATAATTGCCCCCTTAGCTACTAAAACAACCAGTCAACTAAAATTTAATTGACTATTGGGTTTAATTTCTCTAGCAACACCCGGGCATAACTACTGCCAGACCTGTTGAATCTAAACATCACTTAAATATAACCTGTCTGGCAAAATGAAGCAGGCTAGAAGGTCTCAAAAAGCAGCACATGATGCCACGTTCAAAAGAATTGAAAAGAATTCAAAAGTCATTAAAATCTACCCGTCTGGAAAGGGTTACAAAGTCACTGCTAGGTCTCTGGGACTCCAGCAAACCACAATGAGGGCCATTATCCACAAATGCAGAAAACTGGGAACAGCGGTGAACCTTCCCAGGAGTGGTCGGCCTACCAAAATTTCACCAAGAGAGCATTGACGACTCATCCAGGAGGTCACAAAAGAACCCAGACGAACATCTGAAGAACTACAAGCCTCACTTGCCTCAGTTAAGGTCAATAAACAGCATTCCACAATAAGAAAGACACTGGGCAAAAATGGCATCCATGGGAGAGTTGCAAGGCGCAAACCACTGCTGACTAAAAAGGACACAAAGGCTCACCTCGCATTTGCAAAAAAAACATCTAGATGAGCCCCAAGACTTTTGGGATAACATTCTGTTGACTGTGAAGTCAAAGGTGAAACATTTTGGAAGACATGGGTCCCGTTACATCTGGCATGAAGCTAATACCGCATTCCACCATAAGAACATCATACCAACAGTCAAACATGCTGGTGGTAGTGTGATGGTCTGGGGCTGCTTTGCTTCTGCAACTTGTCATAATTGATGGAACCATGAATTCTGCTCTCTATTAGAAAATCCTGAAGTAGAATGTCTGCCTGTCAGTTCATGGCCTAAACCAGAAGTGCAGTTGTGTTATGCAGCAGGACAGTGATCCAAAGCACTCAAGCAAGTCCACCTCTGAATGGCTCAAAAGAAACAAAGGTTTTGGTGTGGCTGAGTCCTGACTTGAATCCCGTTGAGATGCTGTGGCAAGACCTTAAACGGGCAGTTCATGCTTGAAAATGTGTGTAGCCCTCCAGTGTAGCTGAATCCAAACATGTCTGCAAAAAAGAGTGGATCAGAATTCCTCCACATCAATGTAAAAGGCTCATCACAAATCGCGATCGCAATCACAATTGCAGTTGTTACTGCCAAATGTGTCACAACCAGTTATTAGGTTTAGATGGGCAACTGCTTTTTCACACGGGTGATAAAGGTTTTGAATACATTTTTATCTTCAATAAATGGAAGGATCATTTAAAAGCTACATTTTGTGTTTACTCGTGTTGTCTTTATTTTATATTAAATGTAGTTGATCTAAAACATCTAAATTAGTAAAAATAGAAGAAATCAGGTGAGGGGCAAATACTTTTTTTCTTCACAGCACTTTATGTCCATATGTGACAAATAAAAGTTTGATATATGGAAATCTATGAGTGTTGATATATATTTTAAATCTGCATTTTGCCATATATTGGATTTCCATACGGGCAGCAGCAGCAACGTCCACCTACTGAGGAGAAAAAGAGCTAGAAGCTAACAATGCTAAACTAGTTTCAGTGGATTGCTGTGTGATTTACTTAAATTAATTTATAACATTATTTAATGACATTTGCTGCATTTGTTTGTCCATGTTAATGACATTAGAATACCAAGTACATTTAGCTATAGAAAGAGAATCTCAAAAGAGATTTTTGTAACCTATCCAGAAATGCCTGGTCACTTGCTAGGTCAGTGAATAATCTTGTCTAAATGCTCAACTGCAAAAACTTAATTCTGAGCATTTCACTGAATTCTTAATTCAGGGGTGTGCGAGTGCAGGCCTGGTGGGCTATAGAACAGTTTAAAGCAGTAGCTGTTCCTGGAGATTGATTTTCTTGCTGAGTCTAGTTCCGACCGCAATCTTCCTCACCTGCTACAACTAATACACATCCTCAGAAGTCCCTGAAAGTCTTAGTATTAAAGTATTAAATGCATTAGATGCAAGTTGGAACTAAACCTCAGCTGGAAAACAGGTCTCCAGGAGGAGGATTGGTGACTGCTGGTTTCAAGATGATGAATGAAAAGTAGTAATCGTTAAGTAGCATAATAGCATTTGCATAATAAGAATTGGTAGATGTTTCACTTTCAACCAGTGTTAGCCCCATTATCTTTTTCAGCTAGGCATGCATTGATATGTAAACACCGAGGTGATAACTATAACTGATAACTAACACCTTGGTGTGGCCAATTCTGATAACTGATCACACTCTGAGCAAGTTCACACTACAGCCCATACGTGAAGTAAGACAGGTTACAACTAATTTTGCATAGCCGTGACATAGTTAAATCTGAGGATGTTGTAAATGTTTATCATTTCATGTTTATCAAATGTAAATCGTTTTGGTTGTGATTCTACTATCAGGCTGATAATCATTCAGTTTTTCTCTTTAACAGTGTATTTAATCTGATATGTTGTGCACCTGGATTAAAGTGGATCTAAAGTGGATTTCCACTGTTCTCAACATTTCTATGTAATTAAATTCTTAGGATGTAAACATCATTCAGAGTGGCTTGATGTGGAAAAACTCTATAGGAACTTACTGAATAAGAGTTTTTCACAGTGGTGGTGATAGGAACCAAACATCTGAAGGTTTTATTGCTTCTGAAAGCTCCTTTACAGAGCGTTATTAAATGAAATGGTTATCAATAAGTTGCCCAATGTATTTTTTAAAAATCCTTTCATGGTGGAGAGGTACATGTGTGGTGTTGTAAGGCAAAATAATTCCCAATGAGAACTTATTTTTTCAGATTTACCACTATTTTACCATCATCAGCATGTATGTGGTATAGTAAATAAAATAGTTTTTATTAGTTATTTGTGGTGTAGTCAATTTGACCCTTGGTTTCTATCACCACCATTGGAAAGAAAGAATAATAAACCGTTTCACATGAAACAACTCTGAATAACTTTATTTACGTCTTCATGATTGAATTATGCAGAAATATCAGTGGAATTCCCTTTTAACACACCCAAATGAACTCATCAGCTCATTGGCCTGAATCCAACACCCTTGGTTTAAAAGCAACAGGTGTGAAGAGAATATGGAACCTTTGTGGGGTATTTTATGAATGACCTCCAGCAGTCAGCACTTAGTATTTGTGTTTATGTGCCTTTTACACACAGGGTAAATACATAGTGTGTTTTGATCCTCTGGACGGCTCCTCCAACATCGACTGCTTGGCCCCCATAGGCACAATCTTTGCAATCTACAAAAGGGTGAGTCATGATTAACTGTAACTGCACTAACAAAGCAAGTAACAAAACATTACGGTCATTATTGAAATTATTAAATAAGTGTGCAGATTTGATTGTAAAATCTATAAACCTCACATACGGCTATATGTTGCTGCTTTCTCATGCAGATTGAAGAGGTAGCTGACCAGAACTGACCCGCCAGATGACATGTGCAGGCCAAAATGGAAAATATATACTAATTATATTAATCTGATTTTACAAACTTTGTTAAAAGTTTGTGTTAACCTAAATTACTGCATATTTTTAAATCGAGTAATCTTATTTTCTAACTGTTTAATATGTGTGAAATATCTCACAGCTGTGTCAGTGTGCAATATCAGATATGTCCAGCAGGTGATGCTGTGACACATGAGTTTGCACTGAAAGGCGACTCAGCCCCCACATTTAGGCCTACATAAGCATGCAAATTATGCTGAAAGCATTTATCCAACAGTTTAGTCATGCTTGCTTTTATTCAAGTGTTTCTACACCTGTTGATCAAATCATGTTTTTTTTAGGCTTACTTATATACCATGGAAAGTGATACAGTTTGAAAAGTACCTAGTCTGGTTTTTACCCTAAGGAGAAAACATTTTAGGTTGAGATATTCTTTAATAATGTTTCTGGGTTAATGACATTTTAATTAATGTTGTAAGTTTGTAGACTTTCGATCATATTGAGGCCGCTCTCCACACTCTCTGTCTTCTTCCCTCAGTCTTCAGAAAGCGAGCCCACTGAGAAAGATGCTCTACTGCCAGGTAACCAGATCGTATGTGCAGGCTATGCTCTGTATGGCAGTGCTACTGTAGTGGCCATGAGCACTGGAGCTGGACTCAACTTTTTCATGCTAGATCCAGTAAGTATTATACAGCCGGGGATTGTAGTTGGGGTCTCTGTAGACTATTGGAACTGGCTTCTAAGTGTATGTGAATGCTGATCTTGGCTAAAACTGTGGCCCATTTACACACTGATCAAGTGATTTCCATTGATAACAATTAGAAGAGTAGTTCTTATCTTCTCATGATTTAATGCATGTGCCTGTATGAATGGTGGGAGCTAATTCTGAATCTGTACTCAGCATGCTTGATAATACAGTACTAGTCCAAAGTGGACATACCTGATTGAACATGTGTTTTTCATAATCTTGAGGACATTTTGATCTTAAGTCTTAAGCTTTGATGCTTGTAATTTGTTTGTAAGATAAATAGAAATAGCCACGTTGATGCCTATGTATGATAACTACATGAAGGCGAAGGGGGAATAGATCGATTGTCTATTTCTGTATGTGTTATTTTATAGTATAGTAATATAAACAAGTGTAGTAGGAACTAAGAAACCAGCTGTGGGCTGGTTTCCTGGACATAGATTCAGCCTCTGACTAAATTGCAGTACCAATGGTAAATCTCCATTGGAAATTCTTTTTAGTCTAGGATTAGGCTTAATCTGGATCTGGGAAACTGGTCCTATATGTCCAGAAGTTAAAAAATTCCTGCTCATCTAACATTTCCTCTGAAATCAAGAGTATTAATAGGGAGTCCCCCCTGCAATAACTGCTTCTTCTCTTCTGGGAAAGCTTTGCACTAGATATTGATACTAGAGGATTTGATTGCATTCAGCCACTTAACCATTAGTGAGGTCAGATACTGATGTTGGATGTTAAGTTCTAGATCACTCTAATGGCTGTTCCAGTGCCATGTTCTATGGAGATTATACAAGCCAATGGGTGAACTTTGAAGTAGCTGAATTTGCTGATTAGAAGGGCCTTCTGGATCCTTTTGGGTGTATACTTATGTCCTCTTGACTTGTACTGTATATAAAACAAAGTGATATATAGCAAAAGACCTTAATATGTGCTCAAAAATCATTCAGGATTTATAAGGAATCTGTACTGTACTCTGTGAGCTCTGAGACAAGCCCAATCTAGATTTAACTATTGAGTAGTTTACCGGGTGGTTTACTGGAAAGTCTAACTATTGAGTAGTTTACTGGAAAGTCTCACGTTCTTTTTGTGGTTAAAATTTTGCTTAATAACATACAGGAAGTTCTTATTTTCACTTCTCATTTAATTGGAATACATAGTAGTTCTATTTTCAGCAGAATATTTTGGATATTTTTGTCAGGCATGTAGTAGCTTCCCCATTTTCCACTCTGATTAGTACGATATAGGTTTCATTTCTGAGTTGGATTGTGTGCAGTAAGTGCCGTTTCTCAGTGAAAATGAAAGAGCTGGTATGATGGTATGGTGTTCCCCATTCAGGCCATCGGTGAATTCATCCTGACAGACAGAAATGTCAAGATCAAGAAGAAGGGGAAGACCTACAGCCTGAACGAAGGCTACGCCAAGTACTTCAATTCTGCTGTGACTGAGTACATAAAGCACAAGAAATTCCCTGAGGTAGGCCCCAAAAGTAGGTCTGGGCACAGGTTAAACTGTTCTGTTTTATCCTCTTTAACAACTTAAAATGCTTATTAGTTCAAATTTAACCCCTTAAACTCTTAGAGCTTGTATGTAGGACCACACATCAATCTCCTAATTTGTATATCCTACATATTAGTTTAACAATAATTAGTAGTAGTAATACTAATATAAATAATTCATAGTAGTTACTGAATAATAACTCTTGATTAATACTATTTTATGACAACTGCTTATAAGCATGATTTTGAAGTCTGAAAATCATATGTAAGGTTTGTAGCAAAAACAGAAACATTTGTACATGTATAAGCTATATAAAATACAAACCATGAAATATAGTATTACGTTGTGTACATTTATGGTAATTTACTAATTTTACTGCCTTTTTTAACACGATTTTACATAGTCTTAACTCAAAAATAGTCGATCAGCTGAGACATTTGGTGTCTGAAGTTTGCTTCTTTAGTTTTGCACTGGAGCTATGAGGCTAATTTAGCTAATATGCAAAACATAGTGGAATGACACATTGCTAAAAACATTATTAGCAGCCATTTTGGAGCATGAATTATGAGAATATTTTTGGCAATTTTCAGAGATGACAGTATGTTATATAGTGTCCAAAGCCATATAAGCAATTTTATTTAAGATTGCATAACAACTCAATGAGGCTTGAAGCAAGAGTGTAATGATTTAGGCAGTTAGCACGATGCTAGCTATAAACTTCCTTTAACTTACTTGTTACCTATCTCTACTAGATAAGCCAGCATAGGCCAGCATAGCTGGTCAGCAGCAAAACCAGCATATGTTGTGTTTGGATGCTGGTATGCTGGTCAGCAGCACTGGAAGCTATTATGCTGATCACCACCAAAACCAGCATATGTTGTGTTTGGATGCTGGTATGCTGGTCAGCAGCACTGGAAGCTATTATGCTGATCACCACCAAAACCAGCTTATGTTGTGTTTTGGATGTTGGTATGCTGGGCAACCAGTGTGGCCATGCTGGGTGACCAGCTAAACGAGCACCACACCAGAATAAACCAGCATAAATCAGATTAGTGTGCTGTTTTTTTCAGCAGGGATGTTGCCGTCTAAGCTCCAGCGCTAAACTAAAGATCATCTACATTTGGGAAAAGGGGACAAATGCATGAATTAGTTTTCCTTTGCCAACCTATTTCTTTAATGGTCAGCATTCTGTACACTGTCTTATTCAGTATCAGTCACTGATTACAATTTTTGAATGACTAATCAGCCACCTTGCTGGTGGTCAGATCCAAACTTGGATCCAAATTGCTGACCTTCAGCTGACGGATGTGTAACGGCTCTGTGACACACCTTGCCCCTGTGACTGTTTCCTGTTTGTCTGTTTTTAGCGTCAGCTGACTCCCAGAGTGCTGATGTGAAATTCACCCGCAGGAAGCATCATGTCCTGCTGGTGGAGCACATATGGAAGCTATAGACTCAGCAGCTCAGCCCAGTCACATGCTGGGCTCAAAAATTGCAAAGCAGGGGTGTTTTCTAGTCTGATAGGTAGCTACTGATAAACCATCTTCTGATTAGAGTTGATTATTAATAATTAATTGGCAGTTCTTGCTTGAATTTAAACCATGTTAGAGTTTTTGATTCTTCACTGCCACTTCATACCAGCTTTTTCATGACCACCCAGCAGCTGTAGTTACTGTATTAGGTCATTTTGCAATAGATAGGTGGATAGGATAGACATATAGATACAGACTGTTTGTATTGTAATAAATTATTAATATGTAATATGACCCGTTTTATTCACTCCTTATGTTCACAACAATGCATATGTACTTTTACCGCACAAACAGCAGCAATTACTATATATACATTTTTATTTTTGTCTACAGTGCTGGTGATAGGAACCAGATGTCCAAAGCATTTAATACAAAAAAAATACATTAAATGTTCCTTTTTTCATGATATGCATGATATACATGGGCTTTACACATACAAGAAATATTGATGCTGTATAATGATTAATATCACCTTTATTAGAGAAATAAAATGTGCTTTATAAAAACTATATAAAATTTGAATTATACAAATTAACAAAAAGTAACAAGAATTACTTGTCTTCAAAAAAGTACTTGATATGAGCTAGTAAGAAGATTACAGGGTTGGTTTGAGATTTCTCCTCAATACTATCAGGGCATCACATAGTTGTTCAAATCCACCACCAGCACACCCGATTCAGTTCAATGAAGGATTGACTTGACTATCTAGGTATCGGATGATAACTGCAAATAATGCTGGGTTTCCATGAGGAGAGATTTCAAAATGGGTAAACAAACACATTAACACTCAAAATCACTACTTGTTATTTGTGTTTGTTGTAATTTTAGCGTTTACCTGTCTTTCGTTTTATTTTTGTTACCAGGTTAAGGCTTACTGCTCAGAAAGATCGCTTTATATTTATATTTATACCTACCTATCTAAAAACGTTTTTACTTTGAATGTAAGTTAATGTGACGAGTCATTTTGGGCCATTTCTGTTGGTCCATTTGTCCTGAAATTTTAAAATATATAAATATATGAATATATAAACGGCAGCTGTATTTAAATTATGTTAAAAAAATAAATAAAAATGTCAGAAATGGAGATATGAGGTTTTGTGTGTGTGTGTCTGTGTGTGTGTGTCTCAAATTTAACAGAACTGAGATTTATCACACACACACACACACAAATATGCATATACATGAGGTTAAAGTTAGGGTTAGGTGTAGGTGTAGTAATATTTGGCTACAGTAATAAAAAAATCTCAGTCCTCATAAACCTTTCATAAGATTTTGTGGTCTGATCACTTCCTTTCTGTAGCCTGTTGTTCTTGTGTTGGAGGTTGTTTTACTTGTTCTGAGGGTTGTGGTAACCCTGGGCTTCAGTATAGCAGTGTGTGCGTGTGTGTTTATGTGTGTGTGTGTGTGTGTGTGTGTGTGTGTGGGTGTGTGTTTGTGATAGCATGCCTGCGCAGCTCAGCTTTCCTGCCACCTCATTGCAGTACTATCATGACTAAGCAGCACATGACTTCTTTCTTCTTTTCCTCCTTTTTCTTTCTTGGCACGACTGTTGTGCACACGTTACTGAGCTCTCATTCACTTCTGTACATGCAGTTCCAGTGTTGTTTTTTCCTCCAGTCCAGTGCTCCTGAACTTTGATCGTGGTGGTGCGTGTGTGTGCTTTACAGTTGTCTTATCTGTGCCTCTAAGTTATCACGGATTGTTAAAGATGTTTGTTTTGACCTTAAGGTTGTCATTTCCAGTAATAAGGTTAGTGTTTTGCAGTGTTAGTTCTGGTTACAAACCCTATTTAGATTATCATACACTTCAGCTCTGTCAAGTTAGAAAATTTAAAGCTTAAAAATTAGGTAAAAGAAAACATTTATCTCACTTTAAAATGGCACAGATGTGTTTGTGTAGTTAAATAAAAATTAATAGCATGAAAACAGATGCCACTTCCTACTGAGAAGGACATTAGGACACACTAATATGCCCCAATAGCTGATATTTCCCCCTGAAATAAACTCAGTTAGACATTTCCTGTAACCGCCTACCAGTCTCTGACATCAACGGGGAGAAAGTTTTTCCCACTTCTCTGTGCAGAATTCTTTCAGCTGTGTGATGTTTGAAGGGTTTCCTGCACAGCCTGTTTCAAATCACCCCTCAGGATATCAGTAGGATTATGATCCAGGCTTTGACTTTGCTATTCCAGAACTCTCCATTTCTTTCTTTTGAGCCAATCCTTGGTGGATTTACTGGAATGTTTTGGGTCATTGTCATGTTGCATGGTCCACCTCAGCTTCAGCTTCAGTTTTTGGACAGATGGTCTCACATTTTCCTCAAGCACCCTCTGATACAATAATGAATTCATAGTGGATTCTATGATGGAGAGCTTGCCACGCCCTGCTGCAGCAAAGCAGCCCCAAACCATGACATTTTTACCTCCATGCTTCACAGTGGGTATGAGGTTGTCATGCTCAAATGCTGTGTTTAGTTTGTGCCAAATGTGTCTCCTGTGAAAGTGCCCAAATAATTCAACTTTTTTTTTTTTTACCGCAAAGGTTTAAAGATTGTTGGAGACTTTTTTACACATCTCCCGTTCTGCTCTTGGGCTGAACATGCTGGGACAGCCTGACCTGGCCATGTTAGCAGTTGTTTTAAATGTTCTTCACTTGTAAATTCTTTTCCAGGACAGTGGAATGGCTGAATTCTAATTGTTTTGAGATCTTTTTAAATCCCTTCCCAGACTCATATGCATCTACAACCGTCTTTCTGAAGGCCTCAAATAGCTCTTTGGATCTCCCCATGGTGATATCACTCACTTCAACAATCAAAAGCAAACCAAACAGATGTCTAAGGTTTAAATAAGACAAGCTGCTCCAAAATCCTTTCTAATGAAATTCTGATCATTTGCAGCTGATGTGGTGAACCTGATTCTAATTTTAGGCATTAGACATTTCTGCAGTTTTATTTGTTTATATTATCTCCATTTCTCTATATTGTTAAACTGAAGATCAAATGTCTACATTTGTAAATATGTTTAAAAAACATTTTTTCAAAGAAAACCTCAGGGACATTTTTCACACCTATATATATATATATATTTCCACTTATTTTCCTTTGACGTTCCCCTTCCTTATGTAGATGGGTTGTTTTATATCTAATCTCCTCAGACATGCCTTCTGAAACGTGTACATAATGCCTGTTTTTGACTGGAAATAAACAAATGGAGGGTTTTCTGATTATTGCACTGTACCGTATTTAGTAGTTGCGCTGTTGTAAAGTGATTACAGTATTTAGCTACTGTATAAACAAAACAACTCATCATAAAAAATTACATTTTGTCATACGTATCATGTAGCGTGAAAGTATTGTGATGTCATTTTTTCCACCACCTACATATTTATCATGACAAAACATAATATATATGCAGTATAAAATACGCAGTGTAAGTACTATAAAGATTTTATTTCTGTGGCTTGCAGGATGGCAGTGCCCCTTATGGTGCCAGGTATGTGGGCTCCATGGTGTCAGACGTGCATCGTACCATCGCTTATGGTGGCATCTTCTTATATCCTGCCAATGAGAAGAGCCCCAAAGGAAAGGTGGGTTATGCACCAAGGTAATATATTTATAATGCCTACTGTGTGTTGATCCAAGTTTACGCTCATTTGTACTTCAGCTTCAGCTGGTGCACTTGTGGAAAACAGTCAACTGGGAAATGGTCAGTTTACCAAGCAGTAAACAAATGTATCATAATAAGCAGTCACAGTGCTAGCAGCCAAATAAAATGAAGCCATTGTCCATATTTATAAATAACAGTGTGTCATATGGTGTCAGAAACCATGTAAGTGTATTTAAGATTCAAACTTTGATTACTTGTTAGCTACATTAGCCATAGCTCTAGGGCTAAACTTTAGACATCAAAACTCAACAACATGTTTGCTAAGGGGGGGGATTTTTAGGCCAAACGTTCGCTTTAAATAACAAATATTTGGTAGTTAATAATTTATTGTAAGCCTACTGGCCTCTTCATAATCTTACTCATTCTAACCAAACTAAACATTTGCATCATTATTCTTCTATCTGTATTGTACAGACAATCCCTGTAAAATCATCAGAACCATGAATCTCAGTTTTTTGCAATTCAGTATTGAGTCAGTTTACCATACATTAGTCCATGGTCTGAAGTCCACAGAGTGTGATTCTAAATACTGTACTGATAGCTGCTCCTGCTATGTGACCCATATATTTCCTGATAAGGGTTTTACTGTAGTTGTACTGTACTGCACTGTTTTATGTTTCAGGACAGGCCAACATAATTTGCAGTTTACTTGTCCTTGTAGTAAAGATATTAAAGTATTCCTCCACTGTCAAAGCTGTAAGTTTCATTGAGATGTCATACATTGAAAAAAGTTGCACTGAATTTTACTTGATCATTTCCACATGACATGAAAATATATTGCAACATAGTTTCATATTACAGTATACTTCATAAACTGCTGGTAGTAGTCACAACAGTAAGTTCCAGAAAACCTGCAGTCAGCAGACTGACCTCAGACATTTATGAAGAAAGCTGATGGGGTATATCACAAAGCAGGATTTTTCAGTAAGCATGATCATTTAAGCCATAAATGAGTTTGCAGTATCATATATCATTTGTTTTTTCAATAAAAACTAGTCTATCTTTTAACTAATTAATAATAATTGTTAACAAATGATGTAGTTTCAGGGGATGAATTTCAGTCATCAACAAACAAAGGCAGAGATCCAGCAGGGGGGTCCTGTGATATTTCGACTGCAGTCATAAAAGCTGTACCTCAATGCTAAGGATGCATTTCTTGGCTGTTCTGTCACCAAAGGCTGTTACGTTTTGTAGGATCCTTTAAATGTGCATGAGAAATGCGTCCTTCTTTTGTTAGTAAATGAAAGATGTGGCTCTGAGACTTTCAGTCTCTCACAATCGTTCACGCACCGCTCAAAACAATGTGAAAAATGGCAAAAAAACATCCGTGAGTGATGAGATTCGTGATGAAATGTGCTGAAGTGTTAATTTTAATTTTTAGTTTTTAAACATAAGATTTACATGGTTTTGCATTGCTTATGTCAGTAAGCTGTGTCAGTACAGCCCGTTCAGGCCATCTCAAATGTGCGTGAGTGAACAGTGAAGAGGAGCCTTCATATACCAGTGCTAGGAAGGCCTCTCAAACCTCGACTGGATCCTTAGCTTTGAGACACGGCTAAGATCTACCCATGTGTTTTGTCTTAAAACAAATCAAAGATCTGACCTGCTCATGAATGACAGGTCACAAGTTCAGAGACCCTAAAGGATTCTGTGATTCACTCAGAAATACGTTACAGTACGGAAGGAAGATGCATAATGATTTTCTATTCATGTTGACTTTAAAGCTGCTTTGGCCAAAAATTGATTTTGCACGATGTTCCTCTTACCCAAAATGTTGTCAGTCAGCCAAGACATGCTTGGTGTTTGAGGTTTACTTTTTTTTGGTTTTGTACTGGAGCTAAAGGCTAACACAGCTTAGCTTAATTTAGTTCAGCATCATGCATGTTAATCAAACTGCAGTTGTTACAAACTTGACTGAACTTGCTTTTGTGGTTTGTGACACTGCATAACATACTGTTACAGCGTGACATACTTTTGTCCATTTTTAAAGATGATTCGCTATCCTGCTTTGTGAAACGACTCCCTGGTCAGTGGCCTGGTTTGTGTATCTGGGGAAGTGACTGACCAGTCTAACACTGAATGGAAGCTTTTTGAATGATGAGATGCACTTCTGTGACCTGGGTCATTGCACAACACCCCAATTGGCTTTCTTTCTTTCTTTCTCTCTCTCTCTCTCTCTCTCTCCTCCCCCCTCCCCCCTCTCTTTGTCTAGCTGCGGCTGCTGTATGAGTGTAACCCCATTGCCTTCCTGGTGGAGCAGGCCGGAGGTTTGGCCACCACAGGCACTCAGAGGATCCTGGACATTCAGCCCGAGGCTCTGCATCAGAGAGTTCCTTTTGTTGTTGGCTCACCGGACGATGTGGAAGAATACATGGCCTTCGTGAAGAAATATAAGAAATAGACCATTTTACACATCTGATTTTTTTTAAGGCTAAACACAAAGTTTGAAACTAAACATCCAAACAAAAGATATATTCTGAAAATCTTCTTTGGTTTAAATGGATATGAATAAACATGTTGTGTTTGTTTTTGGCAAGTGAGCTTAATTATAAAATGTTTTTTGAAGGTTTTGAATAGTTTCATGCCTGGCTGGGGATGTAATGATTCACGAAATTCATAACCGAGTTCAATACGATACAGTGGGGTCTCAATTTGATACATTTTTCGATACAGCAAATATATATGGAAGAGTTTCAAAATGTACTATTCACTCCTTACAGTCAATACACTGAAACAAAGCTGCAAAAATCACTCGTTTTGAGTTTGTTGTTTTTGTGATGTCACAAAGACCAACACATGTAAATATATCTGCCTATTCAGCCTACAGATATTTAGCCTTGCCCACTCACATTGAACTTATAAGGAGTTATTTCAGCGCCAACTGCTTTTTGAATTCTAAGGCCAGAAACAAACTCAGCGCAAGTATGCGAACGCAAATGACAGCACTTGGCAAACACACGGACCTTCTATGCAAACTCGCTATGCGTTCTTACGTTATTGTGGTGGATAAAACACCCAGTACTGAAGGGGGTGATAGAGGACAAATAAGAAAGGGAAATGCTGTCATTCCAACATCCACAGCTTCTAAACATGTGAATGGTAAAAGGTGCTTTCAGAGCTGCTTTATGAGGAGCCTGGCCAGTTCCTATTTCCTCTGTTATATCAAAAACATGACTGCAAAACAGTCCTCAATGAATGGAAGTAAATGGAGCTCAATCAACTGGCCAGAATTTTCTTTTAATTTTAGAAAGTAGAATGTATTTCACTAAAAAAACTAAGAAAACGTACCTATGTATTTCTCTCATTGGCTGTTCGCGTTCACAGACGTCATGGATGGACATGAGGCGCCGTTTTAAACTTCTATAACTCAAGTTTGAAAGCTCATAAAAATATAGCAGCAGTGTTAATATATTTTATACTACTCAGTGTTCAGAAAATCCTTTTACATTAAAAATGTTTAAGCATTTATAAACTGTGATTTGCTCAAATGCTCCATCTTAACTCATTCATTTTGGACTCGCTCGGGAGCTCCCTCTAGCATTTAAGAAACCCTGGAAGACACTACAGAGTGGTAGTTCTCTCTAGAAGTTCTCTGGTGCTTTACCTTTTGTGTCTTGACACAGTTCAAAACACAACGACGTGTTCACTTACTTGAGTGAAGCGTGTTTTTGGTCTAAGGGATAAAGAGAGGTTGGGTGATGTTGATGAAAAATTTAATTATGGCTTTGTTTGGTACATAAAACCTCGCAAACATCATAAGCGGACCTCATGGGAAAAAATAAACAAGAAAATGTAGAATATGGGCCCTTTTCAGTTTATTTGAGCATTCAGTATTAACCGTGTTTTCTAAAATGTGCTAGCCATGAGCTAATATGTTAGCCTTGAGCTTATAATCTGTTGAATGTATTGTTCAGTACTTTTGTGCACTGAACAATACAATGTTATATTGCTGCACTTGATCTGAATCACATTATGTCACTTCAGTGTTATATCACATAGGCCATTATGTGAACATATGAATCTGACCATGTAGTCTCAAATCTTAAACCTCTTAACAGCCTGAGGCCAATCTAGGCAACATAGATTTATACTAATGCTGGAAGAAAATGTGACATTTGCTTGCAGCTCCCACACAAACCTTTTTTTTTTATTAGAAAATGTCTTATTGTATTGAAGCCTTTTCTGAAAGACAGTTTTGTTCAGAGAAAACCAAATAAAAACACCAGTATTTTGATCATGTGGCATCTTTTTTCAGTTTAAACTGTATAAAACTCCATAAACTCTAACATTCCTTCCCTCAGGCAGTGTTTGTGTCTCTGTTCTCTAGAATAGTGTGGGTGTTTGTCATGTTTGCCTGTGTCTCTCTCTCTTCCTCTCCAGCTTGTTGTGAACATTATGTGCTGAGTGGTTTCGTTACTGATTGGTTGCTGGCAGAGTCCACTCTCCACTCTTCCTGTTAACAGACACCTCCTGCCCGTAACTCGATCCTCATCCATTTCTCCAGTAAAATCATCTCCCACAGCTCTCTGGAAGTCGGGAAAGTGCTTTCTGTCGGTGCTTTGCTTAGCACCTATGTGAAGCATAAATATAGATCAAAGGATAAATACAGGGAACATACTGTACAACACAATTCAGCCAGCCATTCATGTTAAACTGCAATCTACTGACCTGATATAGGTCACAGTGTCTGGCATATGTAAATAAACATGGGAACAGGCCAAGGGCTGACAGTCCAGACTATTACTAACATCACTAGAAAGGGAGATTCATGTTTCTTTTATTGCCACACAACCAAGGAACTGTATGTAATTCTGTACATCTCCATTATTCAATATTATACACCAGTATTACAATATTACTTTAGCTTAGTTCCTAGTTTGGCTTTGCCCATTCACAATGAAGATAAGTTTTTGGTAAATAAAACAATAACATTAGAAGTAGACTTATGAGGAAGTTGGGGTTGCACAATTTTTTCAAGTTTTGCACTGTTTTTTCTTACTGAATTTCTTATGTAATTAAATTCTAATTCTCAAAGAATAAATTCTGTATTCTCAAAGTTTTCAAAGTTACCCAAAAGGGGTACTTTGAGTAATTCTGTATTAGAACCATCTTTGATTCTCTAAAGCAGTGGTTCTCAAACCAGTCCTCAGGGGCTCATAGAAGGTCCAGATTTTTGCTCCAATCTAACTTGCAACTCAGGTATAGAGCAAAAATGTGGACCAGCTAGTGGCCTCTGAGGGCCAGTTTAAGAACCACTGCCCTAAAGAATCCCTTTAAAGGACAATCCTTTAAAGGAATACCCCAGATTCTATTACAAGTGTGTTGAATACTTTTTTTTCACCAGTCAAAGTGTGAACTGTCTAAATTATTGTCCGTTTTAATCAGCCTGGAGATTAGATTGAAAAAAAAGCTTTTTTTAAAGAAGCATCCATTGCAATTGGAACTAAAAGTGGTTCCTCTGTAGCATCACTAAAAACAACCCTTTTAGTGTCCATATTTTCCAAGAGTTTATATACTTGCCTATGTAGTTTATGACACCATCACAAACTCTTATCTATTAAAACAAACATCACAAGGCTAAAAACAGTAAACTACCTCCTAGAAACCTGCATTGTATCTGTACTGATGTCTATTTTACAGATACCCATGTAATATGGCATCACCTTTAAAATTCTTGACGACCAGGCCAACAGAAATGGTCCAAATATACTGGAATTATATCAGTCATTAAGGTTCATACAATGTTTTATTCTAAAACGATATTGTATTTGAGATTACCTAAATCAATGTTTGTAAGAATTATGTACATATTGATTTTTGCCCAAACCGTTATTTTAAACTGACCTTTGTCAACTATTTTTTTTTCTTTGCTTAGTATGCAGACAAACTTCCTCGCCAAAGGGTATTACCTGCTTCACTAGATTACCCATCACAGCACTGCATACATAATAAATGCTCATTTAATGTCCTATCCTGCAGCAGCACCTGACTATGATCGTTCTATCTGCTCCATATCTCAATTTCATAAATGAGCAAGTGACACCTAATCAAAAGGATGTGGGGGCGGGGGCCCCATAGTCTAGCTCTTTGCACATTTGACTTGAGTTTCTTGTCAGATTGCATCTGGAATTTGTAGAACACTTCCATATTGACAAAGATAACATTTACATGAACCACGCTGCTCCGAGTGTGGCTCCCTAGCACTTTTCTATTTGGGGAAGAAGGGGACCGTCACCATTTCACATTTCATTTCCACAGGTTTAATTGATCGAGAAAGTAGAAGTAGAAAAGAAACAAATAAGACCTTTACATTTTGGCAAGTAACAACTCTTCAAAATGAACATATTTACATGGCGCAAGAAAATAAAATCACCTACTAACTAAAACAATTGCATTAATTCCCTAAAAGTGTTTCACATAAAAACCTACAGCACACTTATGTAGGCAACTCATTCATGCCCTAGCCTCATTCAGGCTGTAATACATTTCCTTTATCTCAGTTGACCAGCACTTCACTGCACTGGCTAGTGCACTTCACTGAGCAACAGTGCAGGAGAGAGTCTTGTAGAAGTAAACTGATGAGACAATGATGGATCTTCTAAAACCACTTCTGTATAACGGAGTTCTGTTCCCATTAAACCAGTGGGTAGCTGGCTGCAGTAGCAATGCCACAGTGGTTGTGTCTGTCCTTGGCCATGTAGATGTATCCTTTGTCTCCCCAGTTCTCACTCCAGCTGCAAACAAAACAAGTCATAAGTGTATGGAATTCCTCCACCATTTACCTTAAACAACTATAAGGAAGTCAATGCTCTTAAACATATAGAATGGAACCAACTCTCATACCTGTTCTTGACAATCCAGTACTTCTTGCCATCTACATTTTCACCCTGGAACCCGTAACCGACCACCAGAACACCATGGTCCAGTTCCTCGCTACTGCAGTCCTTCTCATAGTAGATACCTGAGAAGAATCAACGCCAGATGTACATTAAAGGACAGCTGGTATCAGGGTACCTTTCTAGTATGCTTGCTTTCACTAGACTGGTACACAAGTAATTTATCAAGCCATCAGTCAGTATTTGACACTAGTCTAAAATTGTCTGCTATATCTAAGAATTCAGAACAGGCTAATTTTTTTTGGCTAATGTCAATAAGCCCAACAAGTATGAAAGACTGTGCAACTCACCCGACTGGTAGAACTGGAAGGACTCATGTCCAGCATCAATGGCCACAGACACTGGGCCGACTGCAGCTACGGCCTTCATCAGAGCATGCTCCTTTCCACTGGGGACGTCCACATAGCCAGTGTCATTAGCCACGCTGTTCTTGGGATCATACTGGCAGGGCTGGTCATCCTAAAACAGAAGGTAATAGCATGCTTAAACAGATTATATATTTCCTACATTTACCAAAAAGAAATACTACTTTTTATTGTCTGAATAACCTATTTAACTCCACTAAGTTTAGAATTATTCTGTTATGTTTTATACATATTCAGTAACTACAATGTGATTCAGTAACTTCTGTAAAGCTATTTAGGTTTGTAATTATGATACTGAGGAACTGAAGTGTAGGCCTAAATACAGACCCTTGCAGTTTAAGAAGATAGCACTAGATTCCTTCACCTGACTGACACCTGGAGACACTTTACTGTTAGTAACAAGGGTGGGGGGGGGACTAGACTTACGGTTCCAAGGTAAGGGTAGGAGTCCTCTGAGTCCAGGCCACCTTGGTCCTTGATGTACTGAAAGGCCTGGTCCATGAGCCCTCCGTTGCAGCCCTCATTACCTTCAGGACGGGAACAGTCCACCAGGTTCTGCTCACTGAGGGACACCAATTTGCCCGTCTTTCTGAACTGCTGGCCCTCCATGGCTCCAGTGGTGCTGAAGGCCCAGCAAGAACCACACTGACCCTAATACAACAACACAGGACATCAATACAACTCACTCATCCCAAAAATACTTATTTCAAATGTAGGGCACCCAAACTTCTCTACAGCTTCACTGCACTTCTATAGTCTGTGTCCCCATTAGTTCTCACCAACTATCCATTACAGAATTCTTTGTCCTTCACTGCATAGCTGCCTACTGCATACACATTTAGTTCTTTTTTGGCACCAATGTGGTCAGACCAGTTTTGACCTATAGAGCGTTAAACAAAAGCCTGAGACTCTGAAACGAAACTCAGACATGCATACTGAACCACAATCTCACCTGATCTTTAACAGGGGTGACGTATCCTTTCTCTCTCCAGTCCACCTGGGCTGGGGCCTCCAGGAAGTTGGGCTCCATGAACAGGGACCCCCTGACTTTCCTCTCCTTCTTGTGCTTGTAGCCATTCATGAGCTGCCTGAACTCCTCGTGGGTCTGCAGAAATGAGCCAACTCAGTGAATACTAAAAGCTAGGTGCATGTTTGAATAAGTATTCAAATAGAAGTTTTTTTTTTTTTCCCCTGCAACCATACCACAAGGATTTCCCAATCTTACCATGTCTCCAAAGTGGTTCATTCCCAGGCGATAAGTGTGCGTGCCCAATGAGTGTTCGAGGTTGTGCAACTCAATCTTTTTCAAGTTCTTCTCCCAAATCATTCTCCTCCATCCCTCTTCATTCTGCAATTAGAGATGTGAGACTTAGTCCAGGAGAAAAACAAGCAAAAACCAGAACAAAAACACACACGTTGGGGTGAAAAAGGATCTGAAACAAACCTCTTGGTATTTTTTACTGTGCCATTTCTTCCACTGCTCCCAATGGTCATCTAGTTCACGGTCCAGACTTGGTGCAGCGAATACTGCGCTGAGGCACACCGCAAAAAGTGGCAGATACATCTTCATGACGAAGGAGCTGAAAACAAGAGCAACAGGGCCTTAGTCACAGGTGGTTTCTCCAGTCATCAGCTATGTCATCAGACATAATAGAAACCTTACTGTAAAAGGGTAGAGGTGTAAAAAAGCTGCTCATTTTTGATTCTATAGCATTTTCGATGCCATTCAAATATCAATATTTTGTGTTCAAAATGTCTCAACTCTAAAGCTCTGAGTATTAAAACTTGTTTCTATATAGCTATATTCACACTACACTGACTGGCGTAGAAAAACTAATGAAAGGCCATGCATTTTGTGCAAAACAGTCAATGCAAATACAGAAAAAAATTAGTACATCTGCATTTTCAAACCTTTCAAAAAAAAATAAATAAAAAACGAATGCATAAAACATAAAAGGTGCAAATATCTAAA